AATAAATCAGCACTGGTGGCAATACGTGTTGGCATCGGGGGCTGCGAGGTAATTTGGGCAACATCTTCAATGGTGATAATAAATGGAGTGTATTAAAAGGTGATGAAAAGCTCAACTTGGCCACCGGGTGATGAGGTGTGAAGTGAAGGGCAACAGTGTGGGTCTTTTGGTTCTCACAGGTTTCAACGGAAATCTCAGAGGGACGATAGATTGATGAAACCTGCAAAGTGACTACGTATGTCTTGTTTTAGCGCGTTGTTTTGTGAATTGGCAGTTTGCGTAGTGTTCAGATGTTACTGTGTCACACCACATGTGGTCACTCTGTGAACAGGAAGGTAGCCGCTCGCTGTCGTGCAGAATTTTAAACTCGGTGTTGCTGCAGGTTAGTTCTGAAACTGGGGCATAGAGGAGCTGCACGTGGGGCGTGGTTGACGAGGGGGGAAAATAAGGAGTGGAACAAAGTTGAATGAATATTATTTTGTATATGGAAAATAAACAAACAAGAGTTTCCCCAGAAAAAGCCATATAATCTTTTCTTGTAACAATAAATACTTGTTCACCTAACTCTACCTCACTTATTATGTAAGTGCAATGGTAATTACAGGTTGTGTTTTGATTTTGCTTGTTGTCTTAATGTAGAGGACTTCCTGACCCAGTTAAACAAGGTCAATCCCACAGCAGTCAGTTGTGATATACGACACGTTACACGCTTCAACAGGAAAGCTGTTCAAGCTCTGTAATGAGTCAGTGAGTTATTTGTTTTCAATGTAAGCTCTTAAAATTTGTTCGCATATAAAAATGTTCTGCAAATATGTGGTTATATGCTAATGAGTTTGTATATGTGAGTAATTTGCCGCTTCAGAACTTTTAATTTGAACTTTTAATGAATAGGCGGAGTTGTAGCGGTTTTATTCAGGTGATTTATACCTCGATGTAGTTTATTTCATATAAACAAAGTCATGACGTGGTTTAGGTAGAGTCATTTTAACACGGCTGAGCACTAGGGGATGCATTCAGTAAAAAGAAATCACCTGTTAGCTGCTAGCCCATTAAAAAAACAGCTATGACAGAGTGTCTGTAACCAGCTGTGGCGTTATGACAGTGGTTTCAGTCCACAAGGATTCATCTTTGTTGTCTCATGCATGACTGATTCAGCCACTGAAGGACATCCAACCCAACTGAGGGATGAATCAGAGCAAGGAATCACAGCCTCTGGACAAGGACATGGCCAGCTCATTTTCCAAATTAAAGTGGCACTTTCGGCCCAGATCATTCAGATTTTAATGCCCTCATTGTAGTTTTTTAAGCATATAAATTGTAAAGATTTATTTTGAGGGAAGAAATAACAGCGAAGAAGAAATATGCAGGACAAGGAGATGAAAGGAAACGGGACGTAAAAACACTTTTACAAGGAACTCAAGTGTACAGACGATGGGAAAACAATTAGAAATACACAAAAGAAGCAAACCCACGAAAAAACAAAACATAATGAAAAGAATATAAAAATACAACAATGCAATAAAGTCGTCACATAACAACTCTTACATAAAGTCTAATCAGATCAGATTTCGGTTGACAAGTATGAACCACATAATGAAGAAAGATCTTTTAATTTCAGTTGCACCTTTCTTTAAGTTCCCCCATTAGGTGTGACAGGAAGCTGGCAGGACCACTCTCTGGGCGTTACATCTGTTTCCCAGGCAGCAGCTCAACAAAACACGGCCTTGCACACCACCATCACCATTCTCGCCACTCAGAATTACAGGAGTGAGAGAGTGAGAGAGTGAGAGAGCGAGAGAGAAAGGGGGAGAGAGAGAGAGAGATTGTCAGCTATCTCGGTGAGGCATGCTTTGCTCAAGGCTACGTCTCTTTCTCTTTTTTTTCTACCCTCTTCGTCTCTCTCCTCCTTCCATTACTCAGCAACAAGAAGCAAAAAAAAAAAAAGGTGTGACTGAGTGCTCATCGCACCGAAACTCTTTCGTCCTCTCCCAAAAGAACAGCAGTTGTACAGACATGAAAGTGCAGCGAGTTACACACAAGAGTACACACGAAAGGGCTGTCTGTAACAAAGAAGGTGGAGGTTAATACTGTTATCCGTGTGAACAATTAATCAGCAGAGTCGTATAAAGACATATGGTCTGGTTCCAAGGAATGTGAAGAGATTTAGTTTGTATCCATTGCTGTAAAAATGCAAAGCAGGAACACTTTGTAACAGGACACTGGGGGAGAAGTTGGCACTAACTTTCATTATGGTAAACGATCTACAGTTACAGAATTTAGCTCTTTTAATTACAAGCTGTTTGTCTGTTGGAAGTTTAACATCACAAAAACAAACTGACACTAAGTTAAATTATTGCTGCCCGGGTCTACCAGCATTTTCCTTGCATTTTTCCTTGAGTATTTCTGCAGCCTTAATGCAACCAGACTGACAACTAGTAGCTGATGGAATTATGTAACTGTAGACACAGGCTTTAGTTTAATAATCCTGTAAAGCCAACTCAGTCTATACACTGTTCGTCATATGGTGTTATCGCCTCATATGGTCTGCCTGTACTTATTTTTTGAGATATGAACATTTCCAGTGAGTGCTCCATGAGAAACCTTCAGTTCAGCTGCTGTTTGATGCAAGTAAAAAGTTTTTCTTTAAGGTGTCGTGGGGTTTTCGACGGGAATGCAATGGAGCAATGTTATTGCAGGAGGACACGGCAGCTAACACAGTTTGCATATGCAATAGTGCAACAATCTCTCTAATGATGCAGACTTCAAAATAGTAAAAGATAGCTTTATAAATGTTTTATGAGGAAGGAAGTGTTTTCAACATGTTTTGCTACATCTGTTGGAAACATTAAGGCTGAAGTAATGACTGGGACATCCCTAATGAATGAAAGACATGATAAACTGTTTAAGTGTCAGGCCTTTTCTTGTGCCATTTTATTAATAGTCCACAGTAGAGAGAGATCAGGAATGATGTGCAAACAAAGGTCCTTGGCCAGACGCAATCCGGTGATATTTCTTCATAATTACTTTTCAGTTTAAGATTTTCTGTGTGTTCATTGGTGTTTTTGAAACATCAAAATGTTGAAAATACGTCCAATACAGTATAAAATAAGATATTTAGCAGTCTGGTGCCATTGAATTTAATTTATAATGCAATTTTAGTAACAAAAATCTCTTGTGTTGGGTATACTTTCCTCAGTGTGGGTATGGTTTGATTGCTGAACTCTTTTAATCTCTTGTTTAACATATAGATACAGTAAATGAACTGTCTGATCTCTGCAGCCAGTTTCATCTGTCATGGAGCTCACAGACTGAAAGGAACCGTTTTGACTGCCACAGCTTCATTTCTGAGTTATTTTCAGTTTGATGCATCACTAAGCAACAGGGAATAACAAAAAGGGAAAATGGAAATAAGTTAATTGAGACACTTGACTTTTCTTTTTTCATGACGTAGATGTTGAATAGCTGTTCCTGCCAGGTGTGTCCTTCAAGTGGCTGGCTAGTGAAACACACACGCAAACACAAAGGCTTAATGCAGAAGTAATTTTGTCCACCCCCACCTTGTCTGTCATCCTAGCCTTTCAAACCGGGGGCGTATTCTTCGCCGTGCACACGCTCACACATTCACACACATGCACTCGTGGCATGGAAACACTGCTCGGCCTAAAGGCTTTGTGGTTGCCTAGCTGCCCACCTACTCACCTGTACCCACCCATCCTCACCTGTTTAGATGCTTAAGATCGAAATAGACCCGAGAGTAATTCATTATCATCGGAAACTGTACATGCAATCGTGAGTGGCTGTTGATACTTGTAGGATAGTCACCATGGGTGGTTCAGTGAGGGTTTGACTGGGTTTGAAAGAGTCAATCTGTCATGGTGCCCACTCACTTAGGACTCACTTGCAAAAGCTAGTTGCGTGGTTAAGTCCCTCGCCTCTGGAACAACAGTGGGCAGACGATCCTGTCCAAGCTTGATCTGCTGCGTCTTCCATCTTTTCTTTTCCATCTCAACCTTACCACTTACAAATACTTACTTTGCCTTTGGACAGTCTCTCCTCGAAGGCGTTCACGGTGTTGCACTTTTTTTGCACACATGAAACGTAACAAAAGTTGCTGTCTGCAGCCTCGCTTGTGGCTCAGAGAGACTGGATAGTTGTTGAATTCAGTCGTGCTTCCACTGACGAGGCTAACATGCAGATATTTAGCAGGTGCAGTGTTTAACATGTTCACCATCTAAGTTAAGAAACACTATCGTTAGCTAATAAGCGCTGAACACAAGTACAGCTTAGGCTGACAGGAATGTCTAGAGTTGTGCAAAATGTGTGTATATATTATTATTCTGTGTAAAGGCCAGCAGGGGGAGCTTCACTGGCTACAATAACACAGCGATCTCATTCACTTTAATGGAGAAATGAGCTGACTTGTCGCTTCATTTACTAGCTCAGTAAACAGTTTGCTAATGAGTTTATGGTCTAAATCGCTTGTTTCAAGTCTTCTTCCATACAGCATGATGTTCATTTAGTAACTGATGGTCCCATTTAGAGTAAAACAGACCATAAAGCAGGGTATGCTTTAGGGCGGGGCTACCTTGTGATTGACAGCTCATTCTCAGTGAGTCCGTCCAGCTCAAAGCACCAAACTCAGATCAAACTGTCAGACAGTGCTGATCAGATATGGATCCAGATTCTGTTACTGCGTACAGCCTTTTCAATGCCAACACTGTAACGTTGTAAGAGGAGGGTTTAGATGATCTGACAGTCACTTCCTTTAAGGCTCACCAACTCCTTTAGTATGGACGTAAGAAAGCTAGTGATCATCATTCTCTGTCTAGGGGTGAATGAACCTTATGGTTGGAGTTTATTGGGCAATAACGTAGGTGGGATTGTGAGTCTGTATCTTAAAATATGTGTTTAATTACTCCCTTTTTTTTATATTCTTAATTTCTTAACGTATTAACCGTCAAACCTTCTTTCTCTCCCCCTCTGTTTATCCCCTTCCTCAGCTCTTGGAGTATGTTGGCAAAGGAAAAAGCATCATGGACGTGGGTTTGGCCCAAGCCCGCCAGCCACTCACCACCCGCTGCCACTACTATGAATTAGAGATCGTTGATGCTGGGGAGAAGTGCTACATTGCCCTGGGCCTGGCAAGAAGGGTGAGCTTTCTAAGAAAAGAAAAACTTTTGACAACTTCACACACACCTACACTCAACAGAAAAGCAAGTTTTCTTTTTCTGAATTTGGCCCTTTCCCCCTATTTTCCACATAGTTATTAGGCTCAGTGAACTCAAGGGATGTGGACTGCAGGAATAAGCCTGCCATTGGCTGACTCTTCCATTCTGCTTTCTTATACTCTCCCCCCTCTGGTACTCATAGTTTAACAAGTTGTTGAGCTAACAACATGCTAATGATGGAAAACTTTGACAAAAACTTGAATTGGGGATAAGTTAATTAGCATGTGCAAAATGTGCCTCAGGCCCTGTCCTGGGAATGTTGGAAGCTTTTCCTAAGGGAGGAGCAGCAGCGCTCTGGTAATTTTAAAGGTAGGATCCCTCACATATATGTAAATGGAAGTGTATGGAGGAAAGATAATGAGTGGCTGAGCCTTTAAAGCCCCTTTTAGATGACAAAAACTTTGTGAACTAGACTCTGCCAGTAGTAAACAGTGGTACTGTCATGAGCTTTGTTTTCTCTCCCATTATCCAGCAGCTTAGCCATTCTCTTTGGATCTAATGGCCTACTTTGGGTAGATGAAACACCCCCAGAGGAAAATACAATTAGAGAAATTTTAACACCTCTCATTTGAGCCCTTATTTCTTTTTCCAAAGAATGCACATGCGGTTCTCATTTCTACATCAGCTCTGCAGCTCTGTGACTGTTACCATGTTGAACTGCTTTGAAGAATAAAAGAGACAATCCTGTAGGTGTTTGGGCACAGAGTGAGATTGATACATGTTGAGAGATGCAGAGATTGACTAGAACAAAGGTTAATATATGACGACATTTTAATACACAGATGCAAGGATGTAAACTCTGAGCAGTTTCAGTAGGGTTGTTTTGAATCCTCCTTACTAAGCTCATAAAGGACAGGATTAAGCCTGTATGAATGTATGCTTTCTGATTGATGGATTCTCTTTATAAAAACCTATTTGCATTACTTTTTTTACATTACTTTATTCTCCTGACTCAGGAACTATTTCTTCGACAGTATGTGTCCGTGATTTGTGAGTTTTTTACACCCTGTAAGTTTAGCCTCGAAAGTGTTATGAATGTGAAATATTAGCGACTGCCAAAGCCAAGGCCCGTGGAGAGCTGCCAGCACTGTCTCTCCCAGGGTCAACGCTCTGCTCCTTTTAATAACAAAAATAAAAGATGAAACTTGTACAACAACATCTTTCAAGGTCTCCGAGGCAATTTATATAGAAGAGGAACAGAGGGATGCACAGGTCACTGAATGATATTAAGACAGAGAGCTATAGATGCTTGCAGAGACGGGAGGCTGAGCAGGAGGAATATACTTGCACTGTATGTGTGCGTCCTACACACGTTAATAAATATTAAAACCTTCTCTTTGTGGACGGTCTCGTCACGATAAATCAGTAACACCGGTAGTATCACCATCTTCGTAGATATGTTGCTTGCCAAACCACCCACCTGGCGACAGCAGCATTGCCCATATTTCACCCTTAAGGTCGATCCTTTTGGGTAAAATAAACTACAGAGCTGCGGCTGCTGTGGATATTTTCCCATTTTTCTAAAGAGGATAAAACTGTTTTTGGACATATTTGTGGAAAAGGTTTCTAAGCTTAAGGCCTCTGAGTGGACGTTTCCCTTGGCAGCGGCTGACTGACATCTGAGAGCTGGAGTTGCTAGAAGACACGCTATCAAATTTCCTTGGTGCACTACTAAGAGGAGCACGCCATACTGTACAATACAGTTTCCAACAAACTCACATAGCATTGTTTATGTACCGTTAGCAATTTAAGACGTCCGCCCCTTTTGAAACACTCAACATTTGGGAGAACCGTTGTGCTGTTGTGTTTGTATTCACGTGGAAAGTGGAAGCTAGCAAGCAAAGATAACTAACATTAAGTTGATGCTACTTAGCTCTGATTTATTACTTTTTGTTCATGTTATTTAAAAACCTGCTGTCGTCTGCAGTTCCTGTACCATCAGGGTAAATTTGCAAAAGTATTGTGCAGCTTTTGCAGCTGCTAAACTTGCAAAAATAAGACAAAAAGACTGTTGTTTCCTTAAGAACCCACAAACATGATATTCACCTGTCTGCACTGCCAAGAACATACCGTCTCTGCATATTTAAATGAGGTAATAGACATAAATGTGGACCTTTTTTAATGCAAATGAGCCTAAATGCAAAAAATGCACAATTCACAAACACGCTAATAGCCACACACAGTTAGAGTGAAAATATTTGGTCAGTGTAATAATGTTAGCATGGTAATACTAACATTTGGCTCAAAGCACCACTGTGCCAAAGTACAGCTCAACAGAGCACTAGCTCGAGTCTCAGAGTGAAATTATGTGCGTCTTCAGAGAGCTGGTGGTGAACTGAGGAGTGTTTTATAAGGGCTGTCTCAGCATTGTGTAGTCCTGTAATGAATCATGTCACAGAGTAAGTAATGTACTGAGTCAGAATAACAGGGGGAGTGACTAACAGCATCGAGCCGCCCTGTGTGGCCTTTAGGGATGTAAAGATTCATCTTGACACAGTTAAATCACAATACAGATATGTTTCTACGCAGCAGAGGGCGCTGTGTACTTTTGACTTTGCTTGTTCAACACCCTACGTCAGTCAGTCAGTAGCTGTGTTGAGGCGCAAAGACGTCAGTTTCTACTTTTCTGTAATTTAATATCTGAGAAATTTCAGTTGTGATTTGTCTTCAATCTCATTCTGTTAAAATAAATAGATCATATCGTGAACCCAGTATCGTGAGTGGAGCGTATATCGTTACATCCCCTAGTGGCCGTTGAAATTAGTGATATCAATAACTTTATTTTGCTTCCCACCAGCACAGATATTGCACTGATTAAATCACAACCCTGGAGAACAGTAAGTAGGGTGTGCTCTCTCTAAAGAAATACTTGAATGTCTCATTTTTGGATATTACAGTTTTTAAGTACACAATTCAAAACAAACACTTACACTGATATCTTCTAAATTCAGTTTCAAAGCCTTTAAATCACACTATAATCCAAAAATCTGCATCTATTATATTTACTGCATTCTGTGACTTAAGAGACAAAACTGCTAGAACATCCTCTAACAGACACATGCTCGCAGTTAAACACACAGACGTCGCTCCCATGGGTGAGGAAGATGTTGAGTGGTGATAACTCCAGTGCCATTACCTCCTCAGAGTTCTCCTCTCCTTTCTATTTGCTCCACTACATTTCTCTCTGCATCTGGCTTTCATTATAAAGACATTAAGCCTAAGTCCAGGAGAGGTGATAAAGCAGCAAATTGAAGGGCTTGGGTAATGACTGTTTACTCAACAGCAGTGACAAGTTTGCATGCTGGTATTTTTCACATAGCATCCCGTGGTAGGAAAGAAGGCCTGAATATAAACACAAATCCACTCATTAATGCCCCGCAGACTGCCACATTCTGCCTGTCTGTCTCTCTGTCTGTGTCTCTCTTTCTGTTTGTTATGGTTGCTGACTTCAGGCTCAACTTTGTACTCAATTTCCTTCACTTAACATCCCCAGTGGTCGGTCACCTCTGATGGAAAGCAACAGATTTTTGTTTGTGGTGTGGATCTTGTGAGGACAGTGTTGGTCAGTCCACCACTTTGGTCCTGACTGAAATATCACAACAAATATTGGATGGATTGGTATGAAATTTCATCTCGGTCACAGTCTCCAGATGACAAAGCTTATTGTGGTGACTTGTTGTCTAGCACCACTCAGATATCCAGTGAAATATCTCAACATTACAGACATTCATGATCCCCAGAGGATGAACCCTAATGACTTTGGACATCCTTCTTCTTAATGTGGAGAGCCTCTTTAGGGTTGTTGGCTTTTGCAAATGTATTGATGTCTACCACATGACGAACAATCAGTAATGCCGGTAGTATCACCACCTTCATAAATATGTTGCTCGCCAAAACACCCACCTGGCGAAGGCAGCATTGACCATATTTCACCCTTAACGTGGATGTTTTTCCATTTTTCTAAAGAGGATAAAACCGTTTTTGGACATATTTGTGGAAAAGGTTTCTACGCTTAAGGTCTCTGAGTGGACGTTTCCTTTGGCAGCGGCTGACTGACATCTGAGAGCTGGAGTTGCTAGAAGACACGCTATCAGCTGCTGTGGTGCATTACTAACAGGAGCACGCCATACTGTACAATATGCAAACATTAATGAGTTTGGAGATCCACTGACTTTTCCTCTTATCACCATGAAAGTTGGCATTTGTTCTTTTGAATGAAACATCTCAGCCACTGTTGGATTTCCATTAAAATTGGATTCATTCACCCTCAGGATAAATTTAAATAATTTTGGTAACGCCCGGAATTCCAGTGCCGTCATCTGGTCAAACGTTTTATTTGCCCAAAACTTTATTTTATAACTAAATCAAAACGAATGTCATTCCCATCAGCCTCAGTTTAGTTCTAATTAGCAAGTGTTGCAAAGCACCACTATGCCTAAATAAAGCATAATCCCCAAATTCCACCACGTAACACGTTCTGGCTCCGCCGTGGTAACCAGAACTGATCACGCCTGTTCTAGACAATACTTGAAATTCCACCAGAAGTGTCGCATTGCTATGTTCCACGTAGACTCACTCTCTTCAAGCTGCACAGAGCAGATCGATTCATGCTACATCAACATTGTGGCACCAGGACAGAAGTCCGTCAGTCAGAGGAGATTTTAAGGGGAGAAACAGATAGATTTGTTGTTGTTTAAGGACAGAATACAGAAATAAACAACGTCGGTCAGGAAACACGCTCTGAAATGCTCTCGGTGGGATTTGAAGACGAAGTTGGTGGAGCCTCTTAGCTTAATTGCATGAAGAAACATTTCACTGCTCTTTGTTTGAATTCTGGTCAAAATCTCAGTGCAAAGATGCCAAATAAAGGCAAAGTCGAGGTTCAACACGTTAAAGTTAAATTAGCTGGTTTAAAAAAGGTC